TGCCTGACATGCCCCACCCACCCACCCATGAAGTATTTTTAGAATGCATTAAGTTGAAGTGAAATATTATTCTCTAGCTATTTTTTTGTGTCATTGTAAGACAGCTATGTTGTTCTGTTAATATAGGTCAGGCTGCATGGTTGGGCTTGGCATGGCTCCCAGCAGTGTGTGAGAAGTGTTTCACATGTGTTATTGCAAAAATTAGATTTTACAAGAATGAAAAAAATGAGCCAATTTTGAAGTCCAGCCAGACTCTTGACTTCACTGTAAAATAGTTGACTGTTGAACTAGTTGGTCATCTCAGCCATTAATATTGGCCACTAATATTTCAATAGTTGACTGACAGTGAACTTGTTGGTCATATCAGATGACTAAACAACCACTTTTTTTCAAGCACTGTATGTTGTACTGCACTTTCATTAATTATTTTTTGAAAACATTTTCATGTCCAGTACAGAGAGGTATTTGTAATGTGCAATTCAACAAGCTCAAGAAACTTTGATCCAACCTTCTTCCTCTGTCACAGATTGAAGAGGCAGTGTGTAATGATTCTTGCAAGTCCATCACTCTTTGTAATTCCTGGAAAATATTCAAAGTATCACAAGGCACAGTGTTTCTTCTTTAAATAACTTAGTGGTCAAAAGATCAAATGACAGTTGATGACACAACACTTTTTTCACAGACACATGATCGTCATCACATGCATTTCTGATTAACTGAATGGCAGAGATTATAACTGATGATTGTTAGAAAGGGTATGTATGGAGCCTACAAACTCCTTTAATTTCAAACTTCAGCATTAACTATGTACCCCCTCTGGCTGGACAGAAACAACCAAACAATAAAGCTCAAAAGCCACAGCACCAGTTTGATAATTCAACAATCATAAAAACTTTATTCTACACTGCTCTAAATTTATACACTAAACTACATGTAATAAAAAAAATTGCTGAATACTAGTCATACTATGTAAACTACAACAAGTGGTTTGTTTTTATTTTTTATTTGGAAATAAAATAATTTATAACTCCTGAGACTAAAACCATAACTGCAGTTCTACATGTAGCAATTGAAACATTTTGCACCAGTTCAAAGTATTTTGTACCGGTTCAGAAACAAACTGTACCAAAGGCAAAATTGAACTACAACATATACATGTATATTTATATGCCAAGAGAGAAGTTGAGGTCTTTTGCAGCAGTCACTACAAACCCTCATTCGCTGAGTCCAGCAGGACTGATAAAGGCCATGCTTTGAAACACAACATATATAAATTACATAATGTGTCAAGTAATTCTTGTATTTTGATTGGTTCTTAGTTATGATCTATCAGAGGAGAGATGCATTGGTGTCGTCATTAACATTTTTTTTTTTGGTTTGTTTCTTTATTACACAAAACAAGTAAATTCCATGTTGCAATGCATCTGTTCAGTAATAGATCACAGAAGACACCGAAAAATGTGAAATGAACAACAGCACTTCACACACTCACCTGATGGCTCATTTCCCACTTTTCTGTTCTTACCACATTTTGACATCAGCAGCAATCTATTACTGAACAGACACATGGCAACATGGAATCTATTTGTTAATCTGACAATGTCAAGGTGTTTCTGAATGTTACCTGTACATATGCACTGTGATTTTCAAGAACCTTTGTGTACAGTGTTTTTGAGACCTAGAATAAAAATTAAATTTTTAAGAATTCAGCATGTCATCAGATGATAGTTTTACTAAATATTAAAAAGTTTTTTAGGTCTATCCATTTCAATTGATCCATTTGAGTTGGAGTTTCACGTCTGAATTCAAAGTTAAAATATTCAGAGTTTGAGTTCAGGGTAACAGTCCCTATTTTTAGTCCCAGTGTGCTCTGGTTATAACCTATATTAGACTACTTAGGTTAGATTTATTAGGGTTAGATTTGGGATAATAGCTTTTATTTAAAGGTACATGTACGTGTAAGGTAATACTAAATTAGATTCATTGAATTACAACTCTAAAAGTCAAGGAACATAAAAAGATGGAAGTTAGACTCTGACTTGAAATTTCAATGCAAACACAATATTATTCTAACATGACTTTAACTGTGACTTCAACTAAAAAATTAAATGAAAGTCATTCAAATTCCCTCAAATGGGTGTTGTAGAGTAAACATTCCATGAACCCACTATCGGTGAGGAAAGTTAAACAGCAAATCCATCCTTTAAGAGAATCAAGAGGAGTCGGTTTTCTTAGATCTGTAAATGCCTGGTTCCACATTATTACTGGTAACACATTACAGTGAGGTGACAATGTTATATCAAAAATATCAAATCTAAATCCTTAGCCACAATAATGAAAACAAATAATTAGTCTTACTGCCTGGAGTTGTCGTCGAAGATCATTTCTGTAATCATCCAGTTCATCAAGATCTAGAACTTCTGGAAGTTGCTTTAAAAAACATCAAACAATAAAATTACATTTGATCAATTTTTAATAATTATACAACAGGAATACCAACTATAAATATTGTACATTCAATAATATTATTCTAAACTATCTGAGTGTGCTTCCTGCATCGTTCACTCTACAAACACTAGCAATAAAATAAACATTCCGATGAAATAGTGGATGTACAGTGTAGAGCCTCTGTGTGAATATGCCACTACTAATTAATCTTAGTTATTATTTATTAATTACTTATTTAATTTATAATTGGATAATGCATATAAAAGAGTTCTTGTCCAAGAAACTGAATAATTAGAATTCTTTAACAGACTAATAAACAGCTGCACTGCATATATATAAATATCTCCAGGATTTATGAAAACCGTGTTAAATTTTTGCCTGACTGTCGGCTATCACTGGCAGTCAGGCCTTCGCAGCACTTGAAAACCCAGGGTGTCTTCCATCAAGCGGGGTTGTAGCAGACAGCCCAAGGTTCTGGTTACCAGCTGGTGCCCAGTTGGGCTTCAAGGGCCTTAACCCAGAGGGGTGGACTGGGCCACGGAGAGAGGGATTTCTGTCAGTAAAACTGATGTTTCCTCTGCAGGACAGTTTTGCCAACCAAGCTAAGCAAGTTTAGGGACTGGTAGCCAGCCAGTTACACACAAGCAAGGTGGTTAAGTAGGCTGTACAGTGACAGACTGCCTGTGATTAATTGACTGAAAAGCCTGTGTATTTCCTGGAGAAGTGGCAGGGTCACTATGCTGAAATTGACACAGTTTTCATAAATCCAGACATATACATATATACACTGTATATTGGTTAGAAGCTATCAATAAATGTTTCTGCAGCTACTGCACTTACATGAAGTTCATAATCACTGGAATCAAATGAGGTGTCACTGAAATATATCTCTTTTATTGATCCTAACACCTGAAGAAATAAAATGTTTGCAAGGGAGAGGAGCTAGTATTAATCGTGAGGTAAACAGGTGTCAGCAAACTGGGAATATATGTCAGCATTGATAAACAAATGGGACAGAAAACAGGCACAAACCTCTTCATCACTACGAGGGTCATCCTGGAATTCACGCACATCATCCTAAAAAATAATGAACAATTATTAGACGAGGTTGAACAAAATATCATGATTTGTCAGTGGTGAGAAGATCAATTACTTGTGCCAAAGGATGAGGCAACTAATTGATCTGTGAAACACTGACAAATCATGATATTTTGAGATAACTGAGTTCAATAAATATATCTATGACAGCTAAGGAAAGCGATCTGCCATTTTCCACCCAAGAGTGTGGTTACAATAATTGTTATGCAGGAGCAGAATATTATTTCTAGCTAAACACACTTAGATAATACTATGCATGAGTAGACAGTTATCTGTAGTTAGTTATTTGCAGGTCACAAGATGGGCTCTTAGCCAATGAAAAGGAAGAAAAAAGTTTCAAATGATAATCAAGGTTATTGGATTAAGTTATTCTCTCCCTGCGTTATCTACTTATTATTTTTTTCTTGTTAGACATAGACATAGACATAGACAAAAATACAATAAATAAAAAACTTTATTATTAACTTTATTAATTAATGTGCCAAAATCCTACATGTCACTGTAAAATAGTGAGCTAATTTGGGACACCTATACTAATTTAGAGCTACACATAGATGCATAGACATAAACACAGACATAGTTTATTTTACTTGGTCGCACACTTAGGTGTGGTAACAGTGCATCCCATAGACTTGATAAGAGTCTACAGGATGCACAGCTAGTATAGAGGTGTGCCAAGAAAACAAAATAACAAGGTAAAATGTTCATATTTTAAAACTAAATATTAACTAAACTAAGATTATATAACAATTAACTTTAAAATATCTAAAAATATATAAGAATATAAAAAAATGTATAAAAATTGTACAGATAAAAACTATGCATAAGTAAGATATGAAAAGGAGAAAGATATATATAAAAAGAGGAGTGATATTGTACATGTGAGCTTTATAAAAGGGTTAACCAATCTACTAAAGCTGAAACAATCGCACTTAAAATTAAGCATTAAGCTCTAATTATAAATACATGATCATTTCCTCAAAATAAAAGCGTTTGTTAGTAATTCTCTGTTGTCAAACAGTAGCTGTAACCCTGCATTTGAGCTTGGGCTTATTAAGCTTAATTTAATAATTTATTTAATTTATTAAGCTTTAAATGCTTAAAACAGGCATCGGGTTCCGATCCGTTCAAAGACAAATAAGTATTACTCACAGACCTTATATAAAATTTCAGATAGGTTCTCCGTAGAGCCTCCATCAAGAGAATCTTTCTGAGGACGCTAAACAGAAAAAGAGATACAAATCGAACTTCACAACATTGAGCATATTTTCCTACAAACTGAGCCGATATTTTGACAAACTGACTCGCATAATTTGTCGTCACCAAGTAAAATACTGCACTTACGTCTAGGCCAAGAAAGGTGCGAAATCGATTCCGTAGAGCCATAAACTTCACGTAGTTGCACAAACTACGGTGTTGGAGTTTTGACTAATTTCTTTATGATAACTCCATGATTCTTCTGATTCTCCTGATTCTCCATGATTAGTTTTCGAAAATCGAGCAAAGAATTTATTTAGTCAGCGGTCAAAGCTTTTCTCAGGAAGATACGTCATATAACTTAAGGGCACAGTTCACCTTTGATATATAAAGCTTCCATTTAGCGCGAAAATATGCTTATGCGTCAGTCAATACCAGCAGTGCCCATCCTCCCCCCGGGCTAACCCCCGGACATTAGTATTTTTCTAAAAAAATGGGCAAATTCCCCGGGGTGGGGACACATCTAGTTCTAAGATATCTTAGGCCATATCTTCATGAGTTGATATAGCAGGTATATGTGGGGGGTTAGTGAGATGTAGGCTGTGTAGGTATGTGTAGGGGATTTTTGAAATGTGGACTGTGTAGGTATATATGGGGGATTAATAAGAGGTGGGCTGTGTAGATATGTATGGGATTAATGAACTGCAGGCTGTGAGGGGATATTGGGGGGATATTTAAAGGGGTGGTTGAAGAAGAATACTTTATTATATATCCGGGAGGTATTGTTTTAAGAGAGATTAAGAGAGATGTGTATATTGCGGTGGAGTTAACTGACCGCCCAACCATCCGGGTGGTGTCGCACTTATAAAGCGAAAAAACAAAAAGATTTGGCTGTGAGCCAATGAGAAAGCCTTGACGTCATAGCCAAACTAGACAAACGAGTTTCTGAGACCGGCTGGATTTGATTATTCAAAATGGCGGACATACCTTAATTAATTTAAGGTTATAATATGTTAATTTGCCAAACATTCTTTATATGCACGCTTATGTTCTGTAACGGCTTTGTANGAGCCGATATTTTGACAAACTGACTCGCATAATTTGTCGTCACCAAGTAAAATACTGCACTTACGTCTAGGCCAAGAAAGGTGCGAAATCGATTCCGTAGAGCCATAAACTTCACGTAGTGGCACAAACTACGGTGTTGGAGTTTTGACTAATTTCTTTATGATAACTCCATGATTCTTCTGATTCTTCATGATTAGTTTTCGAAAATCGAGCAAAGAATTTATTTAGTCAGCGGTCAAAGCTTTTCTCAGGAAGATACGTCATATAACATACGGTCACAGTTCACCTTTGATATATAAAGCCTCCATTTAGCGCGAAAATATGCTTATGCGTCAGTCAATACCAGCAGTGCCCATCCTCCCCCCGGGCCAACCCCCGGACGTTAGTATTTTTCTAAAAAAAATGGGCAAATTCCCCGGGGTGGGGACACATCTAGTTCCAAGATATCTTAGGCCATATCTTCATGAGTTGATATAGTAGGTATATGTCGGGGGTTAGTGAGATGTAGGCTGTGTAGGTATATGTAGGGGATTTTTGAAATGTAGGCCGTGTAGGTATATGTGGGGGATTAATAAGAGGTGGGCTGTGTAGATATGTATGGGAGTAATGAAATGCAGACTGTGAGGGGATATTGGGGGGATATTTAAAGGGGTGGTTGAGGAAGAATACTTTATTATATATCCGGGCGTTATTGTTTTAAGAGAGATTAAGAGAGATGTGTATATTGAGGTGGAGTTAACTGACCGCCCAACCATCCGGGTGGTGTCGCACTTATAAAGCGAAAAAACAAAAAGATCTGGCTGTGAGCCAATGAGAAAGCCTTGACGTCATAGCCAAACTAGACAAACGAGTTTCTGAGACCGGCTGGATTTGATTATTCAAAATGGCGGACATACCTTAATTAATTTAAGGTTATAATATGTTAATTTGCCAAACATTCTTTATATGCACGCTTATGTTCTGTAACGGCTTTGTATCGAGAACTGGAAGCTATGGAAAGAGAAATACTGTAATAATTACTTGGTTTGGAGCGGGAAAGCCCCGAGTTTCATCTCGCCACGTTCAGAGGAAGATGCAAACGATATTGCCATGTAGCAATGGGGAAGATGAAAAGGTATTGCATCGGCGGAGTAACGTAAACGAGATTGTTTCAGCAGGAGAAAAAAACTTCCCACCGAAACGCTCGACAACTTAATCGCTGAATTAAAAAGAACCCATGGCAAAGAGCTTCAATTTATGTGATTTTTTACGGTTTTTATACGATACTCTCATCTGCGTTCGACTAGTCTTGGGATAAAACATGAGCAAAGCACAAAGCAGCCCATGACTCTAAAACCTCGCTCAGGCTAAATACGTAATGACATCGTTCAATTCTAAATGGAAATACGAAAAATTAGCAGTTCGACTCCTCGTTCGCGTTCGCGGTCATTTTGCGTTGTTGTTTTGCAGAGGACGGCTATGAAATGTACAAAGGTTTACGGCTGAACACACTTGTACAGACTTTGTTTTGCTCATTAAACCTTTTGTTTGGTGGTGCTTATTGAAGTCGTGGTTTGCTCCAGACTCCATCCACACTACGCCGGAGGAATTTAACAACGCATACAGCTTTATTTCTGCGGTTAGGCCTACGGTCCAGAGTAATCCATCACGAAAACGGAGCTTTTCGAAAACGCTCGTCAAACCAGAGGAATTTGAAAACGCCGACTTTGAGTTTTCGTGTGGACGGAAAACATTTTAGAACGGACCTTTTCGTACACGATAGGATCAGGAGAACCATGTGATTTCCCTGGCCGAGATTTCCTCAAACAAAAATATAAAACGACCGGTGATGGTTACGTTTTTAAATTCCTCCGGTGACCGGGCCTAAGCTTCCTAGGCTCCTAATGAAGTCAATAATCAGACGGCGTTCTTCAATGAGTCCAATGAGAAAACAATCGGAGGAGGTCCCACGCAAAGGAAAAAAGCACCATAAATAAACGCCATAAACAAAATAAAAATTTAGGAGCGGAACTCTAAAGACCTCGATCAAATTTAATATTCGTTATATTTTACTAGCATTATCAAAAAGGCTGACCCGGTGGCTAAATAAAGTTTTACTTTACTTGCCGACTTTTACTGTCGAATTTATCAGATGGAACCTGGAACACATACACGTTTAACAAAACGAGCGGCTTGTCGTTGTACACCTTAAATCTGGATGTCATGAATTTCCCTTTAGGTATGCGAATCACATACCCTGGTATTCGATAATAAATTGTATACCCAAGATCTGGATGTCGTGAGTTTCCTTTTGGGTATGTGAATCCCACACAGATGGTCTCTTACTAATGAATAACAAGAGTTTTACTTAATATACAGGCAACATTTGTGTCAAGATCTTTACACCTGCAAATCTTTTTCTGTGCGGCAACGTTCCTATGTCTGTAAAGGTTATAACGTGGCTTTTGAATTCAGTTAGGTCTTTATGACGACGTTCATTAAGTAGCACACAAAATCTTTCCTCTTGTCGTCTCTCTTTGCTTACACAACTGTCTTCTCGAGCGGTATAAAATGACACCAAACTCTAACGTGTGTCAGCCATGACAGCATCAATATAACTATTGGGATGGAAGACATTTTCGTTGCAGCATTAGTAAGTTTATTGAGGAGGGAGGCAAAGGTTTTGCATGAGACAACCAAGTCGGACAACCGATTCTCAGAAGCTGCTAAGGCCTACATTTCTGATTCCTTACCACCAGCCTTGGCCTCCTCTGATAGTGAGAGCCTCAGTGATTCTGACTCTGATTAGTGACAGACACTGATCTGTGACCTGTGACATTTAATAACCAATCTGCGTTAACCAAACTTCTCTTTAACAGTTTCTTTCAGATATTAAAAGATGTTGTTGTTGTTGTATTTTTTGTCAAGTTTAAATAGGATCTAAAAATGACTGCGACTGGGACTTTTATATAGTTCAGTGGCACAAAGCTCATTTATATTAGCTCTGTAACGTTATGAGTTCAAAGATCACTGTTTATATAAACTTGTATAATGTTAAAAAAAATTAAGTGCCTCCCTCAATGTTGTGTCAAATTTATGTTAACCCTCCCGTTTTGGGTTGGTAAAAAGTTAATGACCCTCCCCTGAATTCCTCCGGCTCATCCCCCCTTCTACAAATGAATGCTCCCTTACTTCCAATATTTCCTGCCGCGTTGGGAGAAAGTAAATCGAAGGAGCGCTCGGCATGACGGGAAAGCATGTTTCGCGAGATAACCAGGACGTTCCTTTGATTGCATTACCTTTTGCCTTTGGTTCAAAATGAGGATTGGCCAAAACCAATTTTTCCTGACATGTTCATTTTCATGTAAATTGACCACAAATTCCTTGTCATTAGAAAGAATTTACCCCAAGCCTCATTTTGAAACAGAGGCAGGGCTAAACAGAACCGACAATTTATTACCAAATTTAAAAGGTTTTCTTTCGGGTTACAATGTGCCGCTATGTAACGATTTAGAGGACATGATGAGTTAAATTAACTCCAAGTGAATTATCTCTGAAGTTATTTGAAGTGTTGGAAATCAACCCAACTTTTTCCTTTTGATTGTTAGCCCCAAAAAGGAAGTGGGAGACCACATGAGGTAAAGAAAAACTCTTTGACTTCACTGACCAACTGAGCTACAAGACCACAGCAGGTCGTAAGAAACTACGCTGGTAATTCATGGCAAGGTGGATATTGAGGGTCAACATTTTTGCCTCGTGTGGTCGGTTGTTTCCTTTCTAATGGAAAATCTAGTCCGTTCAATTCGCCCCCAGTCCTTCCCAACCCCCCTTACAGAAAAAATGGCTCAAACTAGGCCCAGCAAAAACCCAATCAAGAAAAAAAGACACACGTTCCTGAACAATCATATCAGAAAGCAGCTTTCATTCACTGTTCATTTGACCGTTCACGCTGGGATGTGCAAATGGCCAATAAAGTAAGCAAGTCAAATGATGGTATTTCTGCTTGATTTAACACACTTATAAATGTTTAATAGACCACCTGGCTGCCGTCAAATAACATAGCCAAGCAGTTATGTGGAAAAACAGAGTCAAGAAAATCGTGAAGGCTGCGACCGAAAAAGAACAAGGATTTTGTATTGTTTCTGGCCTTGAATGTGCAACTTAATTCATAACTGAGAACAAGTGATCCCAAGCGATTAACACTACAAACTGAACGAACATATCTCTACACGCTGACATGTCCGATAGGTCGTGGTTTCGGATTAATCGTGATTTACTAGTGTACAAAGCTTTCTATTTCTTTTTTCTCAGCGGATTCGGTTCCATATTTCCTTATCTTCCGGTTTATTTTCGTCAAATTGGTCTGCCCGCCAGTCAGGTTGGGTTATTACTTGGTTTGCGGCCCATTGTTCAGCTGGCGAGCGCTCCGTTCTGGGCCATCATGGCGGATAAATACAGGAAGCGGAAATCGGTGCTTGTAATGTCAGTGATGTCTTGGCTTATCATGACCATGGCTTTAGCGTTCGTCGAGCCTACCAACGAAATCTGCGAGATTCGCCGGGGCAATAATACTCATAGTCTCGTTTATAATTATACCAAAGTAAAGACTGGATTCTTTAGACGAACTCTGCTGTGGCACAAAGCTGACGTTGGAGAGGAAACTGAAGACGTTCAGCACCCTGGCATAGACATTGTACCCATTTATATTGATGGTGAAAGAAAACGACACTTCAAGTCTGTTTCAAGTTCAAACATCAAACCGCATTCAGCAGTTACGCTTACACAACTAAACCACACAAAGTTTGAAATCACTAACCAGCCAAGAGCATTTTATCCAAGCAACGTCACTGACTTCTCTCAAAAACCAGACAAAAAGCACCGGACAGTTCCTGATCAAGAGGGCAATAGGTTATCTTTAAACACATTGAGTTCCGAACGAAATTTAAGTGCGCTACTAAACTTTATAAACAATACGCAACAGTATGGCGAGTACAGCAAGCAAGGTCCAACGTTAAAAGCAAGAACTAACAACACATTACAAACAACCACCAGCCGAATGGTGGTACCAACTACTCAACAAATTAACCGCTCAAATCACCTTTCGCGTTTTCACAAATTCAACAATTCTCCCGGTCAAAACAAGAGATGGAAACACTTCTCAAACTCTGGAAATTTAGGGAAACCCAAAAATGAAGGAACAAAACTGCGTGAAACAGACACAGCAAACTTGACGTCCAATTTCGTGTCACCCGCAAAACACTCTGAAGAGAAAAATGATGACTCGTCCATTGACAAGAGAAGGCAAAATAAGCGAGTGCCACCTGTAGTTATTGAGTTTTCAAGGATCGTAATTCCAGACAGTAAAGACTCCTCTGCAAATGATAATAGTGATGACATCCACAATTATTTGAAAGGCTTGAAAAAGGAAAATACGACTAAATATGTACATGCGCACAAAACTGCTTTCCACTTGTCTCAGCCGGCCTCGGAGCAAGAAAATTATAGCATCTCTGAGCCATTGGTGAGTAAGGCAGGATTGTTACCACACGTAAACAATTCAAAGTACAAAGATTATCAAACAGGATTTAAACCTATTAGCAAAGGCCTGTTGCAGTTGGAGGAAAAACTATCAAAACTCGTAGAATTTGACTCCAAGAGCACCTTGACTGTTAATACCCCTCTTGACGCGAGCAAGGGAGACATGCACAAGTTGCATATAAACAATACTGCTGTTGACAAGTCAGGCTTTTCCAATCAATCTCTGACTCGAACCTTTCAAATTCATATTCGCAATAAAAACATTTCCAAGGNGTTGTACACCTTAAATCTGGATGTCATGAATTTCCCTTTAGGTATGCGAATCACATACCCTGGTATTCGATAATAAATTGTATACCCAAGATCTGGATGTCGTGAGTTTCCTTTTGGGTATGTGAATCCCACACAGATGGTCTCTTACTAATGAATAACAAGAGTTTTACTTAATATACAGGCAACATTTGTGTCAAGATCTTTACACCTGCAAATCTTTTTCTGTGCGGCAACGTTCCTATGTCTGTAAAGGTTATAACGTGGCTTTTGAATTCAGTTAGGTCTTTATGACGACGTTCATTAAGTAGCACACAAAATCTTTCCTCTTGTCGTCTCTCTTTGCTTACACAACTGTCTTCTCGAGCGGTATAAAATGACACCAAACTCTAACGTGTGTCAGCCATGACAGCATCAATATAACTATTGGGATGGAAGACATTTTCGTTGCAGCATTAGTAAGTTTATTGAGGAGGGAGGCAAAGGTTTTGCATGAGACAACCAAGTCGGACAACCGATTCTCAGAAGCTGCTAAGGCCTACATTTCTGATTCCTTACCACCAGCCTTGGCCTCCTCTGATAGTGAGAGCCTCAGTGATTCTGACTCTGATTAGTGACAGACACTGATCTGTGACCTGTGACATTTAATAACCAATCTGCGTTAACCAAACTTCTCTTTAACAGTTTCTTTCAGATATTAAAAGATGTTGTTGTTGTTGTATTTTTTGTCAAGTTTAAATAGGATCTAAAAATGACTGCGACTGGGACTTTTATATAGTTCAGTGGCACAAAGCTCATTTATATTAGCTCTGTAACGTTATGAGTTCAAAGATCACTGTTTATATAAACTTGTATAATGTTAAAAAAAATTAAGTGCCTCCCTCAATGTTGTGTCAAATTTATGTTAACCCTCCCGTTTTGGGTTGGTAAAAAGTTAATGACCCTCCCCTGAATTCCTCCGGCTCATCCCCCCTTCTACAAATGAATGCTCCCTTACTTCCAATATTTCCTGCCGCGTTGGGAGAAAGTAAATCGAAGGAGCGCTCGGCATGACGGGAAAGCATGTTTCGCGAGATAACCAGGACGTTCCTTTGATTGCATTACCTTTTGCCTTTGGTTCAAAATGAGGATTGGCCAAAACCAATTTTTCCTGACATGTTCATTTTCATGTAAATTGACCACAAATTCCTTGTCATTAGAAAGAATTTACCCCAAGCCTCATTTTGAAACAGAGGCAGGGCTAAACAGAACCGACAATTTATTACCAAATTTAAAAGGTTTTCTTTCGGGTTACAATGTGCCGCTATGTAACGATTTAGAGGACATGATGAGTTAAATTAACTCCAAGTGAATTATCTCTGAAGTTATTTGAAGTGTTGGAAATCAACCCAACTTTTTCCTTTTGATTGTTAGCCCCAAAAAGGAAGTGGGAGACCACATGAGGTAAAGAAAAACTCTTTGACTTCACTGACCAACTGAGCTACAAGACCACAGCAGGTCGTAAGAAACTACGCTGGTAATTCATGGCAAGGTGGATATTGAGGGTCAACATTTTTGCCTCGTGTGGTCGGTTGTTTCCTTTCTAATGGAAAATCTAGTCCGTTCAATTCGCCCCCAGTCCTTCCCAACCCCCCTTACAGAAAAAATGGCTCAAACTAGGCCCAGCAAAAACCCAATCAAGAAAAAAAGACACACGTTCCTGAACAATCATATCAGAAAGCAGCTTTCATTCACTGTTCATTTGACCGTTCACGCTGGGATGTGCAAATGGCCAATAAAGTAAGCAAGTCAAATGATGGTATTTCTGCTTGATTTAACACACTTATAAATGTTTAATAGACCACCTGGCTGCCGTCAAATAACATAGCCAAGCAGTTATGTGGAAAAACAGAGTCAAGAAAATCGTGAAGGCTGCGACCGAAAAAGAACAAGGATTTTGTATTGTTTCTGGCCTTGAATGTGCAACTTAATTCATAACTGAGAACAAGTGATCCCAAGCGATTAACACTACAAACTGAACGAACATATCTCTACACGCTGACATGTCCGATAGGTCGTGGTTTCGGATTAATCGTGATTTACTAGTGTACAAAGCTTTCTATTTCTTTTTTCTCAGCGGATTCGGTTCCATATTTCCTTATCTTCCGGTTTATTTTCGTCAAATTGGTCTGCCCGCCAGTCAGGTTGGGTTATTACTTGGTTTGCGGCCCATTGTTCAGCTGGCGAGCGCTCCGTTCTGGGCCATCATGGCGGATAAATACAGGAAGCGGAAATCGGTGCTTGTAATGTCAGTGATGTCTTGGCTTATCATGACCATGGCTTTAGCGTTCGTCGAGCCTACCAACGAAATCTGCGAGATTCGCCGGGGCAATAATACTCATAGTCTCGTTTATAATTATACCAAAGTAAAGACTGGATTCTTTAGACGAACTCTGCTGTGGCACAAAGCTGACGTTGGAGAGGAAACTGAAGACGTTCAGCACCCTGGCATAGACATTGTACCCATTTATATTGATGGTGAAAGAAAACGACACTTCAAGTCTGTTTCAAGTTCAAACATCAAACCGCATTCAGCAGTTACGCTTACACAACTAAACCACACAAAGTTTGAAATCACTAACCAGCCAAGAGCATTTTATCCAAGCAACGTCACTGACTTCTCTCAAAAACCAGACAAAAAGCACCGGACAGTTCCTGATCAAGAGGGCAATAGGTTATCTTTAAACACATTGAGTTCCGAACGAAATTTAAGTGCGCTACTAAACTTTATAAACAATACGCAACAGTATGGCGAGTACAGCAAGCAAGGTCCAACGTTAAAAGCAAGAACTAACAACACATTACAAACAACCACCAGCCGAATGGTGGTACCAACTACTCAACAAATTAACCGCTCAAATCACCTTTCGCGTTTTCACAAATTCAACAATTCTCCCGGTCAAAACAAGAGATGGAAACACTTCTCAAACTCTGGAAATTTAGGGAAACCCAAAAATGAAGGAACAAAACTGCGTGAAACAGACACAGCAAACTTGACGTCCAATTTCGTGTCACCCGCAAAACACTCTGAAGAGAAAAATGATGACTCGTCCATTGACAAGAGAAGGCAAAATAAGCGAGTGCCACCTGTAGTTATTGAGTTTTCAAGGATCGTAATTCCAGACAGTAAAGACTCCTCTGCAAATGATAATAGTGATGACATCCACAATTATTTGAAAGGCTTGAAAAAGGAAAATACGACTAAATATGTACATGCGCACAAAACTGCTTTCCACTTGTCTCAGCCGGCCTCGGAGCAAGAAAATTATAGCATCTCTGAGCCATTGGTGAGTAAGGCAGGATTGTTACCACACGTAAACAATTCAAAGTACAAAGATTATCAAACAGGATTTAAACCTATTAGCAAAGGCCTGTTGCAGTTGGAGGAAAAACTATCAAAACTCGTAGAATTTGACTCCAAGAGCACCTTGACTGTTAATACCCCTCTTGACGCGAGCAAGGGAGACATGCACAAGTTGCATATAAACAATACTGCTGTTGACAAGTCAGGCTTTTCCAATCAATCTCTGACTCGAACCTTTCAAATTCATATTCGCAATAAAAACATTTCCAAGGAAATTGATAAGCTTCATCAAGGAGAAAGTCAAAAGTTGGAAGCAGAATTTTTACTTCACCGCATGAAACCAGCCTTCGACATCTCAGTAGACCCCACCAACAACACAAATGGCTTGAACGTAAAACCTTTAAATGATAGTAATTCAACCAGCAAGCATCTCCCACTGAATAACTCTCTAAGAAGCTCTGGAACTACGTTACTTAAACCTCTTTGGCAGCAGAATGTTAAAAGTGGTAATGTGACATCTGATGGTGCGCAAAAAGGAAAACCCAAATACAATGAGCTAGAAGACAGCGAAAGTACGTTTCAAACAATCCAAAATTTTACGCGAAGTAACGTTTCAGGCAGTTACCAAGAAAGCTATACAAAAACAGGCCAAAGTTATCTTTTACAGAACCTTAACGGAGGGAATACACAACTACTGGGAAATTACGAGTCAGATCAGAAAATATGGATGACAAATTTGTTAAAAACAAACTCTTTTGAACTTAAGAGAATTTTCACAATTCTGCTCGTTCTAGTAGTTGTGGGAGAGTTTCTAGAGGCTCCATCGACGACTTTAGCAGACGCCTCCCTTCTTGAGCACCTCGGGGAAGAGCGACGGTACTACGGAAAACAACGACTTTGGGGTTCGCTTGGATTCGGATTATCTTCGTTTCTTGTAGGAGTCTTATTGGAGAGGTCACGCCACGTTGTTTGTGGTGATCAATACACAGATTACATGATATGTTTCTGTGTGTTTGCCCTTCTCATGGTTATGACTTTGTTTATATCTACCACATTTAAATTTCAGTATAAAGAAACTGATGCAAAAAGTGCAAGCGTGCTCTCCGCGCTTTGTAACGTACATTATGGGTCTTGCCTTGCAGCGGCCTGCTTCATGGGAGTTGGTCACGGAATGTCTCATAGTTTTCTCAACTGGTTTCTCGAGGATCTTGGTGCCACTAAAACATTAATGGGTGTGGCTGTGATTTGCCGCAGCACTCTGGATTTACTGACATTTTTCGCGGCGGGAAGCCTCATAAAAGCCATCGGACAGATTAAAATCATGATATGCGCGCTCATATCTTATGGAATAGCTTTTACACTGTACTCTTTGCTAACAAACCCTTGGTGGGTCTTGCCGATAGAAATGTTAGTTGGCTGCACGTACGCTGCTTCATGGTCAGCTTGTACTTCATATATGGCAGGTGCATCGTCCTCAGAATCAGTCACAACTATTCAAGGTAACAAAAGAACCACTCACATACCAAGGTTGAAACATTTAGTCACGATCGTTGCAAACTGTCGTTGTCGTATCTAACGCATTTAGCTTTCGTGCACCATTTGATATATCAACCCAATTTCAGTAGCTGACGAAGATTCCCAAAACATGGATTCTTTACAGTGTCGTGACAATGCAAGGAGAAATTAAGTGCTCATCACTCTTGACGATTGCTAAAAGCTGTATCAGTGACGTAGTTTTAGATAGAGTGTAAATTGGTGCTTGGCTATTCAGTGATGACATAATGTTTGTGTCAACTTTTTTTTCCTGTAGGAATTCTTCAGGGTGTGTACTGGGGACTGGGGACTGGGTCAGGTACTATTACAGGTGGTTTTCTGATTCATCATATCGGAGCTGTGGCCACGTTCCGCTGCGTGGCGTGTTGCGCGTTTGTGGTCTGTCTGTTGTTTTGTCTCGCACAGTGTAAGTGGACACGCGAGTCGACAGAATATGCTGAGATGAAGTACACCTATCTCCCAACTGTAGAGTCTAAAGATACCGAGGAACTTCTACGAGGATACCGCGGAGTATCTAAGACTTCAAAGAACAAGCATAGCACTACAAGGAGATACTGAGTCATATCAAATTATATAAATAGCTACTACGTTAATACGTTGGAAATATTACCTGGCAAAGCTTATACCCATAAATACTAGATCATTGCCGGATTAGTAGAGAGAATTTACCAAACCTTACGTCTAAATATTTTGTACATTGTCAGACAATGTTGCAAAAATTTTAAATGCATGCAGTACATATCCTGCTGTGATGAAATAAACGGTTTCTTAATTTGATAGAACGAAGCTAAGCAAAACCTCGTTAAAATTATTCTAAAAAGTATTTGAAGTTGAACAACAGTCAAGTGTATCCTAAAGTAGAAGAAATACAAGGAGAACAGTTTTACATATCTTTATTTCCCAGGGCCCCTATGGATGCTGAATGGGCTACCTTGGTAAAATAAGGTTACTTACTTACTTATTAACAAGAAAGGTAAAAAGAAGATGACGAGAGTGGAGGAACAAGAGGAGAATAAACATACGATTTCTTGACACCATAGCCGTGATGGGGCTAAAAACTGTACTGGTCCATAACATTCCTCCATCATGTTCAGTCTAAGCAGACTGACTTGAAATAAATGTCGAGCAGTTGCTTAAACGTTTGTCATCGAAATTATTGAAATATATTGTAGTTGAATGTCAGTCTTAACCCATTTCTTTATTATTTTTGGATATTCACTTTTTACTAAAAGTGTTAGATCATAAATGGCGTAACTATTTAGTTTATTCGCCTCTCAATAGTTAAGACTTCACTTCATTTACATTAGTTGCTACCGAGGCGGCGCACTCTCCTCAGACTTACTGAGACATTAAAAACAAGAGGCTCAAAAATGTTGCACACCTCTTTATTTTTTTTTTTTTAACCTTCGGTTGAAATAACGTGTAAAACACGTTACACGACACGAATAACAACAATCTGAGGATCATCATAGAACATGATGTGCTAAAACTGCGACATGGACATTTTACGATATTTCAATTATTATTTTAGTTCTTATTAACCGAGTTTGGTCGGTTTATACGGAAGAATCTTGACCGAGGTCAGACAGATCGAACACAGCGAGGTCTGTACTCACTGCGACCGATCACGAGGTCAAGATACAGACTGACCAAGCTCGGTTAGTAAAATGTTTAATTATATCGCCAAACAAGAAAACTTCAATTTGCTGAAAGTTGCTAAATCAACGGCTATGTTTTCAATTTCCCTAGCTTCTTATATTGACTAACAAATTTGTTACACTGAGGCGTTTGAGTAGCTTTTAGTCTTATATTTTGTTCTATTTTACTTGTCGTCTAGTTACAAAACTTCTCAATTTCTATTCTTCTGGTGTTTGATTGCCTCGGTTTACATTCACCAAGGTTTGCTCTTGATATCTTCATTTTTTTTTTCTCTTCGTCTTTGGGCTCTTCCATTGTGTATTGTCAGCAGAAGCAAGCCCAATTATTTTTGAAATTTTTATTTGCATCTTTCTCACGGCGAAAGTAAAAGGCAGAGCGACCTATGTGCCGGTCTAGATGGGAGAATCAAGACCCCAATCAGTATCGATTTTAGCCAACCATATTTTTGAATTTGGTAGTTCCCAGTCCTTGCGAGTTACGGCCATATCATAATATTTCTTATCAATAATAGCTGGGTGATTAAGACAAGCAAATTGTTTTCTTTCATTCACCATTTCAGATAAAATTTAAACAAGCTTCTCCACCCCCACCCTCTCCTCATCCACCCACCAACTCTCTCCCGTTGGATATAAGCCTGTATGGATATCACGTAGCTTTCTAAACTGTTTGCCTGTTTTCTCTAATACTTTCCCCAGTCTTCTTTTTGTGAAGTACTCGCCCCAGCATCCAAGCAAAAAGAAACGGCTGTATCCTGGTCATTGAAATGGTCCTCTTCTGAAGTGTTATTTACGTTTCCACTTTTGGTTTGTTCAGTTTTTTTCGTATCTATGCAGATATTAAACGTATTCAGCAGCACAGAGTAGTAATTACGGTCTCGGAAATTGACAGATGTCAGTCCTGTAGTGAATATCACGATAAAAGTCACAGCTAACACGGTGAATAGACGAAACGCAATGGTCGGCCCTGCTACACGGATAAGGCTCCCCCCAATCACAAGGCCGAGAATGCCACCCAGGCCCCAGTAGATGCTCTGAAAAACGCCTGTGAAAAACAGAGAGAAGCACAGCGTTAGTTTTTAAAATCGATGTTAAATGCAAAAGAATTTCAAAATAGGCAGGTTGTCTTCATCCAGGGTAGCAACAGTTGTTGGTGCCCGTTTAACACGGATTAATCCTGAGCCGTTTAACGAGTAAGCACCTGGTACAGAAACCATAATAACTTACTAAATATAAGTTATTCTCTAGCCTGTCGATAAAGCGTCAGCTGTCACAGAACTTATAGCTTTTTGATTCATAGAAAATAATTTCGCTATTCTCGTTATTTTGTAATTAGAATACAAAAGTGAATTTTTGCGCGAGCTAAAGTGTTTGTTTTCACTACTGACTCAGGTACTAGAAACTGGTGACAAAATTTGTCTCATTGGTACCGGTGTTTGGAGAAGTTATCCAAAGAATAATTAAAAGCACTGTTTCTTTACCTTGCATGGTTGAGAGGCAATCCAGAGGCGAAGAATGTGCTAAATAAGTGACACATACCACGAATGAATTTCCAAATGTGAATCCTTCGACGAAACCAAGTGGAATAATCTGCCAACAGCTTGTGACAAACGAGCAGGCAAAGTGATTAAACATGTACAACACGAGAGAGGAGAATATCATATTTATATTGCCAATATGGTTTATTAGTTTGTGGCTCACAAATAAAGCCAGAGGCTCGCCAAGAAAGCGAAAGAGATTTATTGTAGCCAACGTCGCGTGTGCCACTTTAGCCTCAGCGAGATATGAAGAATGAAAGTTTAAAATAACTGTGTGTGAGAAGCCCATGAAAGCCGCACTCGCGAAAAATGTTCCATGATGCTTCGTGTAATATATAGTTTTAAGCCTTTCGTATGGAGAATTTTCAGATGTTCTTTGCGGTACCTCAAACTTGATTAAAACAAGTAATGTCACAATTGTAAGCACACAGAAAAAGCAAAAGTTGATTATATAGTCCGCGTAAATGTGTCCACAAACAGGCCGCTGAGAATTGTTAACTAGTGTTCCAGTGATTAAGAAGAACATTAGGAAACCTACTGAGCCAAACATCTTTTGATATCCGTACGCACACGTTCCTTCCTCAGTTTGCTTGGCGAGTAAGACAGCGTCAGCTACAAAGAAAACTGGACAGAAGAATATCTCCTCAAAAACAACAAGAGCTAAAGCTCCAAGAAAGATATGGTACAGACGGGAAGTGTTTTCTCTCAGCTCGTTTCTTATGGTAAAATTTAACTCGATGATACTTGGCAAGTTCTTGGATTTTGATCCAAGATGTGAAGCCGTGAAGTGTGACGAAGCTGACATGAGGAAGCTGTGATTCTTGTTTACATTAGTGTCGTTCAGTTCTTTGTTATGATCCAAAGATTCTCCATTTCCACTTCCCGATAAAATATCGTTTTCAGTTACCTGTAGTAGTCCCGAGCCAGAACCAGTCGTTATTTCGACACGCTCAACTAAGTCATTACTGCTTAAGTTGTCGACGGGATTCTTAGGAATCAGCTTTGATTGTAATGTAAAGTACTCAGTTGCTCTTCTTCGACGGAAAAATCCTGTCTGCATCACTGTAGAGTTGATGACTGTCGAGTCAGTTTGGTTAAGAGAAACCAACTGACACATCTGTCCAGTGGGTTCAACAAACGCCAGTGAAATTGTTCCAATAAGCCACACAAAACTACAAAACTGAAGGATTATTTTTTTAGGTAAACAATGATCCGCCAGTAAGCCCCATAATGGACTTAGAAGAAGTTGTACAAACGGCCGAACCCAACAGAGAATTTGTACTTGATAGGAGGAGAAACCAATCTGTCGAAAGTATGAAGGCAGAAAAGGGAACGTTGTTGCCATTGAGCTGTACACGAAGAAAAAGAACATTTTAAAAACAAGAAGAGGTTTGTCAACCCTCGCAAGGTGGACATCTCGTTGAGCGATAAATCTCTTAATCGTGGAGTGGCTGTAATTGGCACACATTTGTTCAGCAAATTCAACATGTCCCTTTTCGCTCTTTTTACGCTTTAGTTCCATTTACCCAGATACGTCTTAGCCTTAAATAAAGAAGTTACGCTACTCTACCAGAAATATCCTATGAGATCAGTAGGAAGATCTCTCGCTTGGACAAAGTGACATCCGGGACTTGATACTACGGGTGGAGGGAAAACCTGCCGGTGGCCTACAGGCTCTGTTGTCAATCACATGACGAAAAGGAAGAAACAAACATGTGGAATACATGTAAGGTCGCAGATGTTTGAAAACAGAGCTCAGATATGGAATCTAAGAATATTGCTATCATTACAGTGATTTGACCAGCCTGAAAGAGAACATCTCCAACTTAATAACTGTCCTGTCCAAGTTGCTGATGAACAAACGCGTAAAAAAAATGTAGATTTGAGAGGATGCACTTGCAAACCAGTTATAAGTGAACAACTGAACAGAAAACTGAAAAAGAAGGAGCGCCGGAGCCAACGTGATTTCAACCCATGAGCATCTTTGGTACCAGCACGATGCTCTTGATGCAATTAGTGGACTATTTCTTCATTTGACTCACCTGTACTTTTCAAATAAATTCATAACTTTCATTCCCTTAAACTAAAAAAGATCTGGCAGTTGTAACCGATCGCGATGAAGCCCCATATTGATCCTTCTTGACTTGAAGACAATGTTGAAGTTCCTAGCTTACGTACTAGCTCCCTACTGATTTTCTGTTCGTCAAAATTTACGTTGAAGTTGGAAAAGGTAAAGGTGTACGATTTGAAGACTCATTGGTATTGCAAATTCTTACTGGTTTAGTTGAGCGCCATATGTACTACAAAACGAAAGAGCTACACAAGACGTGCCTTTTGGGTCGAGTTTTAAATAAACGCTCTCGACGTTTATTTGAAGTCTGGCGTTGCTTTGAATGGGATATTCAATAGCCGATTCGTCTTACTCAGTAGGCGTATTTTTCAAGAGAGGCTGCAAACAGACTCATCTCTGCAACCACTAAGAAGAGTTTCCTGTTGAACGTTAAGGTTGCCTAAAATGGCGAATTGTTTAATACGAGAACGAGTTTTAAATAAACCGGCCTTGGCGTTTAATGACCTTTAATCGAGAGACGCTCGATCAAAAATAGCTGAATCAATGATCTGCATTAATCCTTGAATTTAAGATCTTCGTGTTTTGTTCAGTTAACCGTAGAATATCCAATTTGGGCCCAAACTTAAGGACCATTAAACGCTCTGACGGGACCTAATCTAAAACACTTCAGTTCTCTTCAACAGTGATTTGACCGAATCGCCGCCAAGATCGCACCAAACCAAATGTTTTACCTTCAGTTTTACCGGGATGGAGTTGGCAAGCAGGTTACGAACGTTTTCCATTCACTGATTTAATAATTTCAGTTGATTCTTGTTATTTGGCACATAAACACCATTTTTACGATACAATTAAGATTGGACTGGTGGGAAAATGGTGCTTTCAACAGGTACGCTTTTGGAAGGTTCTTGACATCACAGGTCTTAGTTTATATGCTACCTCTGGGAAATCTCGTCCGCTGGAAAGTGTGAAACGACGCTGCCAGTACAGGAAGAAATTTGATTCTTTTATCTGTCGCCTCTCTGAAGAAGATAAAAATTACTCAAGTGGAAGACAATTGCCCCATCAAAGGAAGGATGGAAGGAAACGAAAGCAGAGCAGAAAGCCCAAAGACTCTCACAGATCCACTATGTGACGAATTACATGTGGATAAGAGACTGTTACTCTACAAAGCATTTTATTTCCTTTTTTTCGCCGGATTTGGAGCCTCCTTTCCATATATGTCGTTGTATTTCAAGCAAATGGGTCTGAATGCAAGCTCAGTTGGGATCCTAGCGGGAATAAGACCCATTATTCAGTTTATCAGTGGGCCCTTTTGGTCCATTTTAGCCGATAGATTCAAGGCGAGAAAGGCAGTTTTGCTGTTTTCGATTTTATCATGGCTAGTCATGACTGTGGCTCTTTTAATTCCTACACCTCACAAGACACAATGCAGAAATTTGATGGCTAATGTGAACAGTACTCAGAAATATTTGTCAGTACTTAGACGGCAACATTCGACACAGCCTGTTATTGATAAGAGGAGAGAACACAACATATCAGTCCCTGTTCTCGATGAAAGCATGAGAGTCTATGGCAGTGCTAAGGTCAAACAAAACACGTTTTCATTCCTTAGGAATTCCCCTTTTGAAGTGTATTTCTTAAAAAGTTCTCATAAAGAACCTGAATACGCAGTCAGAACCAGCTCTAACCTGACTTATGAATTGGTTTATGACGACAACGAAGTTTATCAAGTGTTTACTTATCTGCTGATTTTAGTCGTATGTGGAGAGTTTCTTGAAGCACCAACCTTTATTATGGCTGATACTGCCCTGTTGCAAAAATTAGGAGAGAATCGAAGACACTATGGTAAAACCCGATTATTTGGCTCGTTGGGTTTCGCGTTTGGTTCCTTGATAGTCGGAGGGTTACTCGATAGCACAGAGTACAGATACTGTGGACAAGTGATGAACAATTATAACGTGCTGTTTTACTCGTTTGCTATTGTTATGGCAATTGCATTTGTCTTTGGTGCTTGGATGTTTGAATTTACATACGAAGAAGCCGAAGATAGTAAAAATGGCGAAAACGATGGTTCTACAATGGAGATTTTGACGTTACTTCTGAAATTCCAGTACGCTTTTTTCCTGTTCATATCTTTCTTTCTTGGCTTCTCCAATGGCCTATTTTTTAATTTTCTAAACTGGTACCTTGAGGACCTCGGCGCCAGCAAATTACTGATGGGTATTGCAACAATTTTCCGTACTGTCGCTCTTATCATTGCTTTCATATTTAACGCATTCTTGTCAGATTTATGCGGACATGTTCAGCTTATGTTATTTAGTGTTGCTGGATATTTCGTTCTGTTCGGGGGTTTCTCCATTATCCAGAATCCTTGGTGGGCATTGCCACTTGAGTTCTTGGACGGGATAACATACGGTACTACTTGGTCGACAGCTGTCACTCATCTTGCAGATGCCACGCCCAAAGGAGGAGCTGCCACAATGCAAGGCTAGTACTGAGTGATTTTTGATCCTCCCCATAATAATGGTTCCTGTTTTACGACTTGTTGGGTATCTGTAAGTCATTTTAGTTGGGTGTCTTATCAGTTTAGTATTAAATTAAAAAACGATTTTTCGGTTCTAATAAGGAATATGCGTTCTACACGGACAATAATAAATTGCTGAAAACGGCTTCCAGCTCTTTCAATCCGTTATACTTTGATTGGTCAGAACCACTACGTCACCCCATGTCAAAATTGTATTGTGGAATTGCAATTAGCATGATAGGCGCACAACGTTTTGCAAAGTAGCTAGGTCTCAGGGCAACCTCAAAATTAAGAAGCTTTGAGATTGCTGGGAACCCTTTCACACGTTTGTTTCAATTTCTGCAAAACATTGTACCTTGACTTGTTGACACAATTCGATTAGAGAAAATGGGAGTCGCCTAGCTCGTTTTTGAGTTATAAACACTCGAAGCTAAAATAATTGGCGTTTATAACAGGTTGTATTGTTGCTGCGGCAACCTGTTTTACCACAAATTATCCTAAATTTTACCAATGATTGAGTATTTGTATCATGTCAATATGTATCATCACTGTTACCTTAACTATTTACTATTATTATTATTATTATTATTATTATTATTATTATTATTAACTACAGTAACCATTTGAATTTGTGTTAGAAGTAATCAATTAAGTCAACTGATACACAGTGAAAAGAATGAGCGATGAGCTGTGGACAGAATTTTCTGAGTACCGAATGTCTTGATCACAACAAGCAGCACTCTCATGAATGAATTTTGCCTAGCACCTTCTTTATGTTTCCACATTCAGTAGATTAGATATACAAATATGCGAGGTCGAGTAACATTGATTATGTTTTTCTTTCAAGGCATCCTTCAGGGAATTTACTTTGGACTTGGAGGAGGCTTGGGCGCCATTCTCGGTGGAGTACTTATAGATGGATATGGTGTAGTTCCTTCATTCTGTTTGGGGGCTCTCATGTCGATTGCGGTTTTTATTGCCAGCGGATTTATTCAACTTTGTATTTTCAAAAAAAAGGAAAACATGAAAAGGGAAGCAAAGCAACCTGTGGAACATACAATGGAATAAACGCATAAGCATTATCACGCAGAAATTCAATTCAATTACGAAAATGATAAGGGAGACCATAGAACGGGTATAACTACTGAGAAGCACGAAATCAGAATTAGAATCAGCGCAGATATTATACAGGTAATACGTGGTACCACAAAGATCACACTGGATCAGCTAAGACATATATTATACAGGTGACACCACAAAGATCACATTGAATCATTCGTTGCTGGCTTTGACTTTACCGGTTTTGATTTTAAAAATGCCGCTAGGAACATATCACCAGGGTTCAGTTTATCGTCTGAGGCACCCTCCAAAAATGAGTGCGGTAAAGAGCAATTTGAATGAATTGATATTCAGTCTGTAATCGAGTTATCAATTTGCCAGAAGAAAACACTACTCGCAGTTAATTCGCTGTTGTTTTCAGATTTGCCTAGAGATGAAAAAACGATAAAGTAAAATGAAGTTCAGTGCATGGGGAACAATTATAATGAAAGTTGTTTGAAGGTTTTTTGTGTGATAATGGCTTGGTTCCTCGACCAGGGTGACAATTTGGCCATTTTATGCTTAATATGTATCAATTATAATCATAGTTAGTCGACAAGACGAGCTTTCCGATTTAGTTAATCCTGGGCGACAAGTTTGGCCGAGTGGGTAGTACTTCTGGATGTATAAGGGACCGTTCATTTTTTATGAGGGAGGGGGAGCTGGTGGGATTTGGGAAGCACCATTTAAAAATTGCATGACCCCCCCTCAGCTTACCAATTTTTTCACATGGCCCCCCCTTTATAGCGGTCATTTTTTGGGATGACCCCCCCCAAAAAAAAAAT